TGGTACAAACTGAATGACTAGGGCTTGCAGCAATTCACAGAGTAATGGTAATAAACAGCATGGAAAAGAACATTTCAGTATTAGGCTATGTGGGCCTAGAGGAAATTTTCCTACCAGTGAATATTAAAGGGGAAACTTGGGGAAAAAGCTAGGAAGAAGACAAAACAAAATGGAGACAGAAAAGCTCAGCGCATGCATCTACACATGCTATTAATTCAAAGCAATAAATTTCAAGAGCAGTCTGAGCGGGAGTAAACTACTCCCAGGCCACATCTACATGAGATGCTGACTGTGCAGTTGTTACTGAGCACTCATTTAGTAATGACACAAATAGTAAATGACTGTGCAGTAACCAGAGTTGCTGTGCAGTAGCATCACCAAACAGCGTTTAGATGACTCTGACTACACAGTAGCTCATTACTACTAGGCAGTAGCATCACATCATGCTTCATGCCACACAACGCTACTGCACAACAATAACGAGCTACTGTGCAGTCAATGTATCATGTAGGCACAGTCCCAGGCACAGCACCTATGCATGCACCCCAGACAGCAGCAATCTGAGTCAGGGCATAGCAGTTTACATAAGGGCTGGGGGCACAGGGGGTCACCCTCGGGCTCCAGGAGGTGGCACTGCGAGGCAGAGGAGTTGGCTGTGGCAAAAGGGTGCTGAAAATTTAGAGCCATATAACTAGGCAGCAGGCAGGAGTCTAGACTCTTGCTACCTGGGCTGACCAGGCACAATTTACACCTATGGTCAGCATCTACATTTATGTTTAATCACAGTTAATTATCATGCCACAAGATAGTACTGGCCCTGACAGTACTCTTACAGCAGCACTAATTCGTTTACTGCAGCCTTATAGCAACACATATGTAGCCGGTGATGCTTTAGTCTGCAACTAATTAGTCTGCTCCACAGTTAAACACACATGTAGACACAGCCAATGAGTCTTATTTTATAAATGCAAAAGTTACACGTGATAACATTTGAAGGTGAAACACCTGTGTTGAGGGAGAAGTGAATTGGAATGAGAAATAGTTGGTTAAAATGAGTAAGTGCCTGAGATAGTATTTCTGAGGGAACTGATAAAATCGAACAGAAAGAGATGTTGGCAACATGGGTAAAAGAAGCTAATATAAAAAAATGAAGTGATATACTGTTTTATTGAACAAAACAGAGAATATTCCAATCAAGGGGAAACAGTTGAAAGGAAGGAAAGGAAGTGAACTCAATGACTACTATAGAATACAAAAAGGCATAGTGGGAAAACTGCAGATAAATGATGTAAGTTTAAAAACCATTGCTCTGGCTATAGGATGATTTCAAATTATAGAAATGCCAGGTAGAAAACAGCAGTGGGATAATGAGGAGTTCTTGGAATGAGAAATATTTACTCCTCTGACTGCTCCATCTTAACTAACAAGTTACTTGGATAAGTAAGTCCTAGTCTTCACGAGTAAACACTGTAGAATCAGGCCTGATGCTGGATTTGTATTTATATGGCTGGTAAAAAAATGACTTCTTCATGTGCTACACTGAACAACCACAAGATTGAAAAATCTGATAAAATGAACAACTAGGATGAGGTACATTTTTGTGTGACGTACAGCTGAAGTTGGAGAAACTAGCACCGAAGGAAAATAATATTATTAGGTTCATGAATGTGAACCAGTTCTGAAACAGTCAAAGCACTAAAAACTGGAGTCTAGAGATGTTTTATAAGCAATGTGATTGGTGATTGTCTTCTCAGAGTGACTATGGGCAAGTCATTCACCTGTCTGGGCCTCCATTTATCTATCTGTAAAATGGGAATAATGATACTGGTCTCCTTTGTAAAACACTTTGATGAAAAGTACTATAAAAGAGCTAAATGTTATCATCTTACCTATTTATTTCATTCTCACAGAGGGATGTAAAGGCAAGTTAAATAAACAGTTTGACAAATAATGGCCAATACTCTATATAACAAGTTTTGCTAGCAATTCCAAACTGAACTTACACTATTCTAAATCCCTAATTGGACTTATACACAACTGTTTACATTGGCCTCCTGAACAATGATATGTGCCAGTATTGTAGAAATCAAGGTGATTAGCTGAAAACATTATTTGGCAGATTCTTAATATTATAAAACAATCAAATCTCTAAAATTATGGACATACTATTATATCTTCATTCATCAAATGAATCAAAGCTCTATTTGTTTTAGGGATGCATAAGCTTTCATGAGCAAAAGGTCACTTCATCAGATGCTATGAAGGACATGCAGAGAACAGAAAATAGCTGCATGTCCTTTCATAGCGTTCGGTGAAATGAGCTCTCACTCACAAAAGTTTATGCATCTTTGATTCAATTGGTCTCTAAGGTGCATCTTTACCCTGCCTTCTGCTTGTCTTTGGACTAACTATCTCTCTCTAACCTGCTTTGTATTTGTTTTCAGTTTATAGGAACACACAATGGTTTTAAAAATGGACCCTGAATGATTTTAGGTATACAAGGAGATCCATGCTTAAATGAAAAACAGAAAAGCTTCTCTGACCAATATTTAAAAGACTGGGTTGCTGGCATGGCAGAAATTGTTTTTTACGAGTATCTTATAAAATGAATGAAAAAAACTGAAGAATGTCATGTGATTTGGGATGAAGGAATACTTTACTGAACAATGAACATTAGTGAGTATACATATGATCTTTCATGAGGGGCTGAGAAGTTAGTGTAGCACTTCAACATTTTTTTTTACATTCTTGATCCTTGCCCATATTTTACATTATCGAATGCAGATCTTTTTGTTCAGTTTTGAAATCCATAAGGACATTTTGCTAAAAACAGCATATGTCATATAAATATTTTAAAGTCAAAATTAGCCACTTTTCCAGGGAAAATGATCCTATTTCTCTGAGGTGGTTCATTTTTTTTCATAGAAAAAATATTTTCATTCAAGGTATTATATTTTCCACATTAAAATAATTGTGTTGTCAAAACTGTAATAACACAATATTTCAAGTATGAATCATACAAAAGAACAAAGAGAAAACGTGTGAGAGAAATTCTGTGCAAAAAAAAGGCTGGATTTCAACCTAATACATAAAGCAAGTTAAGTAATCTAACTTAATTTGTGTTAGTAATTTTCTAGTATAGGAGTGACCACCCTGTGACATGAGTAGCATGGGCAGCCTCTGTGTGTGGCATGTGGAAGGATGAGGGAGAGGGAAGGTAGCACCACAGCAGACCGGGCAGGAAGCAGAAAACAGAGCAATAGCTCTGGCAGGGAGCATAGGGCAGAGAGCAGAAAACAGCAGCAGATCAGCAGGGAGAACAGGGTAGGGGTGGAATGCATTTAAGGTAGGGAAGGGGATTGGAGTTGCATTATGGGAGAGCCTGGGCCTTGATTTCTGGCATGCTTGCCCAAAAAATTTGACCCCCGCTGGCCTAATCTGGGACTCCCTGCAAACTAAAACAAATTATATTTAATTCCTATCTGTCAACTCAACAGTGACAAGGAGCCAAATGAAGTCTTTCCCGTCAATTGGTTTCTGTAGTATGATATTCTGTCACATGTTTGACCACAACTCTTTTGCACCTGAATTTCCAGGTGCCTTCCATCTAAGAATTAACCAGATTTGAAACTGCTCGTCTTCCAAAAATAGATGAAGGCAAGTGGTTTCACTTGACACTCTTGTCGGAGGGAGCTGGAGCCTGCTGTAAGTAATTTTTCCTTCCCTGTTTCCTGTTTATGGAGACCCACTCTAGGATTTCCAAGGAAAGAGGAAGCCCACACAGGTCCCAGCATGGAGGCACAGGACCCAGGGAATCCCCAGTACCCTTACCTAGAACTCTGGGGGCACATCTGGGTAAGCAGAGGAACCTGACTTTCCCCACTTACCAAGATCAATCCTAGGGAGGCATCTGAGTAAGTAGGTAAAGCCAAGCAGGTGCTCCCAGGGCTTGAGGGGCCCAGTTCTGTGTGGGAATTCCCAGGGTGCACATGACTGTGCCCCCCAAGCTCTTGCAGACCACATCACCTGTTGTCTCACAGCATCAACAGACACATTAAAGGCACAGCTTATCTGCTTCATTTGGTAACATCCTTTTCTAGCCTTAGTTTCCTGTATGCTAACTGTCCCATCTGAATAGCCCTTCAGTTTTATCAGACCAGCAGTTAAATCAAATAGACGTCGTGATATCTGGCAGCTCTGCCAGAATTTCTAGGCAAAGTGTTACCCACACTCATTAACTAAGCTGCTAAGGTTTCAGATGTGGTCTAAAGGCACAGCCTGTCAAAATGGAAATAGATGCAAGCTTAGATTACTGCAAAAGTGAGCATTATTTACTGTTACATAAAATGAATAAGTCATTTCTAGAGACTAAATATGGAAATTCAATCTGAGAGTTATGAATCAGCAAACACAATTCACTCATGAATAAAATAAGCAAACTGGCTGTCCATATTTAGGGCCCATTCAAGGTACCTTATACAGGCAAAACTCCCATAGACTGGGGTTACAAACAGAGTGGTAAGCATGTGTAGATTACCTGAATTCAATTTCCAACTGAAGTCACAAACAGACATTGCATTTGTCCCAGGACAAACCACTTTATCCCAGGACAAAGTGCAATCATTCAGATGTCCACGTGTGTTGTCCCAGGATAAATCCTAAAAAGGTTCACGGAATAAGAAGTACTAACAGTTTATCCTGGGACATCGCAAAGTACATCTGAATTGTTACCCTAGGATTGCATTGCTGAATCAAGGGCAAAAAAGCACAATGCATTCAGCTACTCACTAAACCCTGATTAGAAGGACAACATGAGTACATGCCAATTCTGAGATATTTCTGTTCCAAGATAAATGCAGGCACTTGTTCAAGGGCAAATGTGACATCTGTTCCTAGCCAAAGAGTATTCTTTGTTTGCATTTATGCACATATACCTGTAGTACATTCGGAAAGCAAACTGAAAACACAAAGCATAAATGAAACTAAACCAAAATACATACTGATTACTAAGTTCTCTTATATCAGATGCTCTGAAGCCCCATTTCTTAGCCAGTTGCTCTTGCTGGTCAGTTTGTTCCAAAAACGCAATCTATAAAGTAAAAAAAAAAAGAAAGAAAATCAGTTAATGATTTTTATATTGCATTTCAGTACAGCTAATGTTGTGTGCATATATGAGAAGTCATAATCTGCAGCACTGGATTTTTATTAAATGTACACTCCATTATAGCAAAAATGAGCTAGTATTAAAATACTCGTTCTTCTGACTATGGATATCTAATTTCTAAATGCTTCCTTCTTGTCCACTGAACGATCCAACCTGTGACTTCAGTTGGAAATTGAATTCAGGTAATCTGCACACACAAGAAGTCCATCACTATTTCACTGGCAGAAGTCCAGCATCCTCCTTCACTCATTATAATACCTAGTGTACCAATTCTTCTAATAGTAACAGAGTTCTCAGGTTACAGCTGTATAGTAACCTAATGGAATATACAGTTACAATGTTCAGAAACATAAGAGTCAAAATAATGTACTTGTGTGTATGATCAATATGCAGTCAGATATTCTCAGTAACTGTTCATACCACCTCTATATATTTTTTTTAATTAGGTAATGAAGATGTAATCAGGAACTAAGAGGAAAAATTATGATAATCTAGTGGCTGAGCTGAGTGGAATGACATAATTCTTAACAGGTCCTTGTTTGCTCCAATATTCTCTGATCCAAGCCCCAGGTTTGCTCTTGATTCTCAATGGATATCAATTTTATATCTGTCAAGTTTGTTTTCTATCACACACAATGATGACAACTCTCAGTGCTCATGGATGTCATGCTAGTTTATATTTTTCTTAAATGCACAGATCTTGGAGTTATGTGTTAATGTGAAAGCTCAGGTTTCACTAATACAGAAGTGTATTTCAGAACATTTTGATTGAGGAGAAAAGTCGGAAGTCAGAACCAACTTTAAAAACCCCCTAGATCCAATATTCTATATGATCTCTTTAAATCTCCTGATATTTAAACAAATGTCATTACTTTTAGGAACCTGATTTATGATACTAGAATGCCAAGGATTCTGCACATGCCAATGGCCATGTTATATTTACTCATGAAACAAACAGCTGAATCCAGACAAATAAAGACAAGAAAATAACAGGCAGAGAGAAGATAAGGTTAGTTCAACAAGTATATCCACCAAAACATACCCATTATTTGTATTAAAGTTATTTTTGTATATATAATTATATATATTAAGGACCCTACAGGCTCCGGTCAGGAGCAGGGCTCCATTTTAAGTATTCTATCAAAACAAGGCACATACACATGCATTTACGGCACCTGAATAAACTGTGGAGCTTATTGCTCCAGAGTTGATTGCTCCCAGGCGCACCATTTGAACATGCACCCAGAACAAATAACTCAGGAGCAATAAGCTCCGCAGTTTGTCCAGGCACAGCACGTGGAGCCACCCAGGGTGGCAGGGGACTCTGGGGGTCAGCCTGCCAGCCCAGGGCTCCTCCCCCCAGCTCAGTGTGCTGCAGAGCGGGCTGGCTAGGACAAAAGGCAGTTTCAGTATGGGGCTAGCTGACAGGCAGCCCCGACACTGAACCACTCCCATGCCCCAGTTAGCTGGTCAGCATCTACACGTACACTGCTGAGCATGAAAAAAACTCCACAGCAGGGTAGTACTTGTATTTACAAGTACTGCGTTCTAGCGGAGTTTATTATTTTCATGTGCCCTAATAGGGGTGCATGTGTAGACACTGAGACATTTACTGCACAGTAAATTAGTCAATTGTGAAGTAAACATCTCATGTAGATGCACCCACAGGGTACAAAGATAATCCTGTCCCAAAGACCTGACAGTCTAAGGACTTGTCTGAGCAGCATTTCTGTTTAGAAACCAGTGGGTGCATCTACACAGGCCATTATGGTGCCGTCTTTACTGCGCCATCATTTAGTACTTCATTTTGTTGTATTAACCTTTTATAGAAGCAGAAATTTGGCTGCCATAGTTCTCCTGCTTTACCTGTGGCAGGTTAAGGTGTTATGTCTTGTGTTGTGTCAGAGTTGATGGTAGTTTTACAGAGTTTAGGTTATGGGTTTGTATAGGATGGTTTGGATAGAGATGCGGGTGAGGGAAAAGGTTAGACTAAATGACTTTTGGAGATTCCTTCCAATCCTACTTCTCTATAATTCCATGATTTTATGATCTTTATGCTGGCATAAATTTATTAACCCTATGGGAGTTGTTATCAATATTTAAACCAATATAGCTATAGTAATACAAAATTCTGTGAAGATAAGCTATAAACAAGATGTAACTGGGATACAGCAAACATGTATAGTCTGCTTACATTTTTCACTCAAAAAAACTTACCAAGTTTTAAAAGAGATAGGTAAATAATTGTTAGTCTGAAGTTACTTACAAAAGCTTATGCTTCTCTGAACCAGTTAGCTTCTAAGACTCCACCCTAAACACATTTTTAAAAATGCATTAAACTTGAGACCTTAGCATCCTGCTTTAATATAAATATTCACTATTAATAACAATATTAGCTAACTATAAGAATAATAACATTATAATAAAGTAACACTCACAAATAATAATCATAAAAGACATGGATATTTACATAAAGCAACATCTTTTTTCAAAAAAAGGAGGGGCATGTTTAGCATGTCCAGCAAGTTCAACAACTGAACAGTTAAAGCTGTTTTATAATGCAGTCTTACCAAAATTTGTGACAAGCAATAAAGTAAATGTCAGAGAGCTCCTGGAGTCAAAATGGATGTGGAATGACTAATTCTAGCTACTGAACAAAACTAGCAAGTTAGGATAAAGAGAGACAAGCTTGAAATACCAGATGGCAAAGGCTGGAAACAAACTTGTTGCTATGAAAAAGAGTGAATATTTTAGACTCTTACAAAATCATTATTCAAGTTATGTTGAAATGGTTCAGTTCTAAAACAACAAAAAGCCACTCTGGAATCAGTCACGCAATATCCGTCCTACCTTGATATATCATACAGTCCTAACAGAGATAAAAATCAAACAATAAGTTAGGGCTATAGGAAAGGTTAAGACTTGAAACGCACTGAAAGCAGAGTGGGTTTAGGCTCTCGTGCTTCCCAGGAATGTCAGTCTAGGTCACTGAATGTTCAGAAACATGGGCTGATGCTATTGACTCAGATATACATTTCCTCCAAAAAGTCCTCTACACACTTGAGCATATATTTAGCTGACTTCAAGTCCTACATGTCCATGATATTTCATCTGTGTTGGCAGTCCCTTGGCCATAAGTGGGCAGTTCTGTGCCTTGAGCAGTGGCAGAGCACAGGCCACAGCTATTTTTGTGTCCTTCCTAAGCTGGCACCTGAGGCTGGTGTCCCAGTTATCCCCTTCTTGGTCACACTACTGCTATGGGTCAGAGCTTTCATTGCTTTATATTTTGCACAATCACTTACATAGTGGGCGCATCTACACATGCTATTAAGGCAAAGCAATAAACTCCAGCATATATCGCACTGGAGTTTATTGCTCCCAGGTACCATGTTTACACATGCAACTGGAACCACAGCACATTAAGCCAGGGTGGTGCAGCCCCACACTGGCTGCAGCCCTGGGGTCAGCCTACCAACCCGTGGCTGCTCAACATGCTGCAGAGCGGCTGAGTGGGGCATGAGGATACTCCAGCGTGGGGCTAGCTGGGAGGCAGCCCCCAAACTGAAACACCCTTGTGCCCCAGCCAACCCTGTCAGCATCTACATGTATGTTGTGGTAGAGTAAATCAGTTTACTCAATAGCATTGCACGTGTACACACTGAGAATTACTACAAAGAAACGAGTCAACTCTTCAGTAAATGTCTTATGTAGATGTGCCCAGTAGGAAGTGGGCTACTACAAAATGCTACTAGATCATAATGGTACTGTATGGGTGCATCTACATGTGCACTTTACTGCAACACTGACTATTTAGCTCCACGGTAAAGCTTCACCATCTATGCATGCAACGCTATTAGAGCACACTAATTAACTCTGCCGTAGGATAGTACTGTCTGGGACAAGTACTATCCTGGCAGAATAATTTACACTGCTGCAACACATGTGGAGACAGTGATGAGTCTGGCTGGGGCTTTAGCAACATCATGCCCCAGGCAGCCCCTCTACAACATATTGAGCCAGTGGAGAGCAGCCCCAATCTGGAAGGCTGATCTCCTGGACTCCCTGCCAGCCGGAGCTGTTCGGCCCCAGCGCAATGTGCTATGGTCCCAGACACATGTGAAGATGTTGTGCCCAGGAATAATAAACTCTGGCACAAACTACACCAGAGTTTATTCAGGCACACTAATTGCATGTGTAGATACACCCTACTATACTAATAATTACAGTGTCTAATAAAAGCAAGTAGTCAGCCAAGGACTGTATGATGAGAGAGATTTTTTTTTAGTCCTTCCTCATTATTTCAGAAAGGTAAAAACATTGCAGAAATGACTTAAAATACATACTTTTCAAACGAAGTGGGTAGAAACCTAATTACAATTACAAGAAACCTAATTAGTACAATTACCTAATCTGGAACTTGTTTTTCCATGTAGTCAGGGAGCTGTGAGGGTCTTCCAGTGACAGAAAGCTAATGATTTGATGCCCCCATTCAACCTAATGGGTTGAAACAGAAAGAAAGAGAACCATCTCGTGTAGAAATAACCCACCTGCCATTGGCAGTGCTGATTGGTCCTGAACAGAGTTTGCTTTCTTTCTGAAATTATTAACAATTTGGAATGAATTAGTAAAACTTTTGAAATTCAAAATGGACAGCAAGTTTTCCGTGGTCATTTAGCCATACTTCCTGCTCACCGTAAGGTTTGGGAACCAAATATTTCAGTGTAGGAAACCAATCACATAGATTACTTTATTTGTTTGTAGCTGAAACTTATTTCACTTCCTCACTTACAAAAATAAGCTGACATCCCACTTTCCTATTCTGTTCACTACCTAGTACTTCATATGTAAGTACGAGACAGACAAAAGCCTTGCCTTGCACACGTTTCCACTTTGTCATACTGGGGTTCTGTTTTTGATTCTCAGCT